ATTTTTTCCCCATGATCCCAAGGTCTCTGATCCCTCTGGGAGAAACTGATACTGTTGGCTTATGTCCCTGTACTTGCTGATCTTGTACTCCTCCCTGTGATCAGCAGCTCCTCCCTGTCGCCCCACACTGTGATGGATGTAGGTGTCAGCCAGTGTGGACACACAGGTATAGTCCCACAAACTGTGAGGCCTACCCCCACCCACCCCAATATGGGGTGTAGAGGGGGGGTTGGCATCCTGCTAGCCTTCCCCAGACAATTTAAAATTGGCTGGTGCCTCCACCCTACCACTCTCCGAAAACTTACCCTACTCCTCCTGTTGCTGTCTTGGCAACTGCACAGCTCCTGATGACGCACTGAGAAGTGTGAAAGTACTTGATTTAAAAATTTCTACCCCCGTGGCTTGTCTTGCATTTTAAGATCCACAATTAACGCGCAAATAGAAGTTAGGAGCACACGACGACGTTTGGACCGACTTGGACCACTTTCAAAGTCACACTTTGTAAATGTTGTGACTTTGTAAATGGTCCAAGTCGGACCGAAACGTCGTCGTAAGCTCCTCCTCTGTTCTAATTCCGGGTTATTTGTGTATCGTTCCAGTCACTGTATTGTACGTTTCTTGTTACTGTTAAGATCGCTGTCTGCGATCTTATATATATATATATATATATATATATATATATATATATATATATAATATATATATATATATATATATATATATATATATATATATATATATAGTGTACATGTACAGAGTATTAAACTTTTGTATAAGGTTTAAAATTAAGTTCAACTGTTTTTTAAAGGTCAGTACTAATAAGGATATATGAAAGACATTCCAGTATAATACGAATATTTAATATAAAAATAATATAGAATATACATATATACATTTGACTAGTGCTAAATAACATGTTGGGACGGTCACGTGACACAACCAGCTGGCACTGTTGGGACGGTCACGTGACACAACCAGCTGGCACTGTTGGGACGGTCACGTGACACAACCAGCTGGCACTGTTGGGACGGTCACGTGACACAACCAGCTGGCACTGTTGGGACGGTCACGTGACACAACCAGCTGGCACTGTTGGGACGGTCACGTGACACAACCAGCTGGCACTGTTGGGACGGTCACGTGACACAACCAGCTGGCACTGTTGGGACGGTCACGTGACACAACCAGCTGGCACTGTTGGGACGGTCACGTGACACAACCAGCTGGCACTGTTGGGACGGTCACGTGACACAACCAGCTGGCACTGTTGGGACGGTCACGTGACACAACCAGCTGGCACTGTTGGGACGGTCACGTGACACAACCAGCTGGCACTGTTGGGACGGTCACGTGACACAACCAGCTGGCACTGTTGGGACGGTCACGTGACACAACCAGCTGGCACTGTTGGGACGGTCACGTGACACAACCAGCTGGCACTGTTGGGACGGTCACGTGACACAACCAGCTGGCACTGTTGGGACGGTCACGTGACACAACCAGCTGGCACTGTTGGGACGGTCACGTGACACAACCAGCTGGCACTGTTGGGACGGTCACGTGACACAACCAGCTGGCACTGTTGGGACGGTCACGTGACACAACCAGCTGGCACTGTTGGGTCATACTGAAGGAACGTATTGAAGATGGTGTTTTGTTTGTCAGGAAAGTGTGTTGGGCAATGTCACTGCTGTGTGTAAACAGTGTCAGGAGCTAGAGCTTCTGTGTATACGGTGGCGTTCATGGTGTAAGGTAGTGTTTTGTGGGTATTTGTAGGTGTCACTATTTAATGTGTATGCTAGGGTGTATGTTAGTGGTATGTTAGTGGTATGTTGTTAGTGGTATGTTAGTGGTATGTTGTTAGTGGTATGTTAGTGGTATGTTGTTAGTGGTATGTTAGTGGTATGTTGTTAGTGGTATGTTAGTGGTATGTTGTTAGTGGTATGTTAGTGGTATGTTAGTGGTATGTTGTTAGTGGTATGTTAGTGGTATGTTGTTAGTGGTATGTTAGTGGTATGTTGTTAGTGGTATGTTAGTGGTATGTTGTTAGTGGTATGTTAGTGGTATGTTGTTAGTGGTATGTTAGTGGTATGTTAGTGGTATGTTGTTAGTGGTATGTTAGTGGTATGTTAGGGTGTATATTAACAGTATGTTAGGGTGTATGTTCGAGTTGTATCTCTCTTGTAAGAATATTTATCAATCGTATCTCATATGGAAACAGAACCTCCGGAGATTAATAAATGTGTATATTTCGATTTACTTCCGTGATCGTCATCATCTGAGGAGGATCCCAGGACGAGGTCGAAATATACAGATCAATTAATCTTCTGTGTTTTTGCCTCCATGTGGATTATTACTGAGCACGGAGAAGTGTTCATTACACTTTAGTTATTCATAACTAAGGGATTTAGACCGGTTTTGCTAGTGCATTTGTAGATTGTAGGATAATGTTTGGAGGGAATAGTCATGTAAGCTGATTTAGGGTGATATTGCTAATGTTGAATTACTCTGATGTTTCTCAGGTATGGAGAAGAAATATTACTCACTAGGGTGATGCGAAATAGTGTGATGGAGAAGTAAATAGGTTGTAGGGTATTACTAGAGTGAGGGAAAATGTTACTAGAGTGAGGGGATACTAGTGGGATGGGAGCATCATTAGAGTGAGGAGGATATCACCAGGGAGAGAAGGGATAAATAGAAAGAAAGGATATCACTGAGAATAGGGATATCACTATGGTGAGGGATATTACAAAGAGGAGGAAAAATATCTAAAGTAATTTGATACAAGTAGCGTGAGGAGGTATAACTAGGGTGAGAGGGTCTAGTTAGGGTGAAGACGCATTTCTAGGGAGAGAGAGAGTAATAGGGGATTACTAGTGTGATGGTTTAAACCCAGGTTCATGGGGTCTTACTAAGTTAAGGCGTATACCTGGGTTGAGAGTATACCTGGGTTGAGGGTATACCTGGGTTGAGGGTATACCTGGGTTGAGAGTATACCTGGGTTGAGAGTATACCTGGGTTGAGGGTATACCTGGGTTGAGAGTATACCTGGGTTGAGGGTATACCTGGGTTGAGAGTATACCTGGGTTGAGAGTATACCTGGGTTGAGAGTATACCTGGGTTGAGACTATACCTGGGTTGAGAGTATACCTGGGTTGAGGGTATACCTGGGTTGAGAGTATACCTGGGTTGAGAGTATACCTGGGTTGAGAGTACACCTGGGTTGAGAGTATACCTGGGTTGAGAGTATACCTGGGTTGAGAGTATACCTGGGTTGAGAGTACACCTGGGTTGAGAGTATACCTGGGTTGAGAGTATACCTGGGTTGAGAGTATACCTGGGTTGAGAGTACACCTGGGTTGAGAGTATACCTGGGTTGAGAGTATACCTGGGTTCAGAGTATACCTGGGTTGAGAGTACACCTGGGTTGAGAGTATACCTGGGTTGAGAGTATACCTGGGTTGAGAGTACACCTGGGTTGAGAGTATACCTGGGTTGAGAGTATACCTGGGTTGAGAGTATACCTGGGTTGAGGGTATACCTGGGTTGAGAGTATACCTGGGTTGAGAGTATACCTGGGTTGAGAGTACACCTGGGTTGAGAGTATACCTGGGTTGAGAGTATACCTGGGTTGAGAGTATACCTGGGTTGAGGGTATACCTGGGTTGAGAGGTATAACTAATATAAAGGGGAGTGTCTAGGAACAGGTATAAAAAACATGTAAGAAATTACGGATAATCTGTAATCAAAACAACAAAAGTTAATTTTTATTCTTAAGTTCAGCTCCCAGAACTATCACTGTTATTACTCTCACTGTTCTTGTTACTGACACCAGTGGGAAGGTGTTGCTGCCACTGTTATTACTTTCACTGTTCTTGTTACTGACACCAGTGGGAAGGTGTTGCTGTCACTGTTACTACTTTCACTGTTCTTGTTACTGACACCAGTGGGAAGGTGTTGCTGTCACTGTTATTACTTTCACTGTTCTTGTTACTGACACCAGTGGGAAGGTGTTGCTGTCACTGTTACTACTTTCACTGTTCTTGTTACTGACACAAGTGGGAAGGTGTTGCTGTCACTGTTACTACTTTCACTGTTCTTGTTACTGACACCAGTGAGAAGGTGTTGCTGCCACTGTTATTACTTTCACTGTTCTTGTTACTGACACCAGTGGGAAGGTGTTGCTGTCACTGTTACTACTTTCACTGTTCTTGTACTACTGACACCAGTGGGAAGGTGTTGCTGCCACTGTTACTACTTTCACTGTTCTTGTACTGACACCAGTGGGAAGGTGTTGCTGCCACTGTTATTACTTTCACTGTTCTTGTTACTGACACCAGTGGGAAGGTGTTGCTGTCACTGTTATTACTTTCACTGTTCTTGTTACTGACGCCAGTGAGATGCCGTTGCTAATAAGAATTCCTATGGAGTGTTACACAGCCTCACAACTAGGTGAGAACTGCAAAATAACTTGGTTGAGTTGATAAATCTCCGGCATAGTGAAGATATTTTGAAGGGCATCGCAGAATCCGTAGGGGTTAAACAGTGCCTTGGGGAATGGCAGGAAATCCAGTTTGATGCAAGAAAATTTGAGATAATTCCAAATCTTATTAATTGACAGGCAGGTGTATTAGTGCCTCAGCTATGGGGCATCTAATATATTAATCTCGGAAGTACTACATATTGTACGTACTACCGTCAAAGGCACCTTCCATGTCTTGCGTCCAGATGACCTTCACCATCGTCAAGCCACCTGGAATAACACACAGCGTCAAGGCACCTGGAAGAACACACAGCGTCAAGGCACCTGGAAGAACACGCAGCCTCAAGGCACCTGGAAGAACACGCAGCCTCAAGGCACCTGGAAGAACACGCAGCATCAAGGCACCTGGAAGAACACGCAGCATCAAGGCACCTGGAAGAACACGAGCCATCGAGAGGTAACAGCATATCGGTCAGTATTGCTAATGTTTCAAGTAGTGGCTGATGAGTCCAAATTCAGTGTTGTTTATCTGTTAATTGTTCCAGCCATCTTATTATGACTTATTCTTCTTAACTGATTTAGTGTGTTAAATCTGTGTGTTAAATTCTGCAATACCTTACATTAGCATCAACGATAATTTATTAGTAAAAATGGGATCGAAATCAACTAAATATGAATGTATGTATATGGAAAGATTTACAGCTCTCAGTATACATATAGGAGGTTTGCAACTTACAAACACCTTTATGTATACACTCCTGCACAAACAGGGTGTTGAAAATCTCTTAAAAGTTTCCTTCTGCTTTTCAGCAGTATGAAAAGGTTTGTACTATTGTTTCTGTGAATATATCTCGTGTGAGGAATTGTCAAGAAAGCAACTCATGTGTACGCTGGTGTCCTCCTTCCCTTTGTCATAACTTGGGCTGAAGTGACGGTTTGTACTAGCCTCTTTCAGTGTCCATTGTATGATTGTTTACTCTGGTAAAAGTGAGGAATTAACTAATGCCCATTTTAGAAGACCGGTGGTGTTATAGAGGGCAGGGATTACTGACACCTCTGACACACACCCCAGAGCGTGTCTTACTGGTGGCAGGGATTACTGACACCTCTGACACACACCCCAGAGCGTGTCTTACTGGTGGCAGGGATTACTGACACCTCTGACACCCACCCCAGAGCGTGTCTTACTGGTGGCAGGGATTACTGACACCTCTGACACCCACCCCAGAGCGTGTCTTACTGGTGGCAGGGATTACTGACACCTCTGACACACACCCCAGAGCGTGTCTTACTGGTGGCAGGGATTACTGACACCTCTGACACACACCCCAGAGCGTGTCTTACTGGTGGCAGGGATTACTGACACCTCTGACACACCCCAGAGCGTGTCTTACTGGTGGTGTCTTACTGGTGGTGTATTGGTTCACAAGACGCAGGTGCTGAAAGTCTTCAACAGGACCACCAGATTAGCCAAAATGTGCTACTGCGTAGACCAGTCAACTGCTGGCAGCAACCTGTTCAACCAAGCGGTCAACAATGAAGTTTGACTTTAGGATGGGCTTCAAGAGAACTCTCAAAACCGGTCGCGGATATATCACAGGTTTTGCCATCCTAACTGGAAAGCATAATAGATCGGTTGTCATCGGTTCTCGTGTACACTGCTGAATATGCTTGTTAAGTCTTCTGCTACTGTAACTAAGGTCTGCTGGTCCACCAGTACTGGCTATAGTGCGGATCGGTAAATGTGGTTCTGCTGGACAGGTAGACCTAGTGTGTGCTACTTCGTCGCAAGTTTACCAGGGGAAGATCGAAACTTTTACCAGTCTTGGTCCTCAGATATATTGAAGGCAAGGAAGCCATCCTGTCAACCATCAGGCGTAACTTGTGTGTACACATCGTATGTGTGCTCAGAAGCTGCATCACATGGCTGCTCATACTGCTCAAACCTGCCAATGTTGTCGTATTGGGAACCTGAAGAAGATACTATTCGAGGCCCCTGGTGATCACTGCTGCCAACTGGGTCTCCCTGGTCAAGTGGCGGTGGACAGGTGGGCGGGGGAGGAAGAAATGCTGCCCAGTTGACCTGGACACATGAATCATCACTGTGATGTTTCCAGGGAACGTTGTGGTTCAGGTGAGGTGATGGGGCTCTGATTAACGCTGAGGTGGCATACGGTTCTGTAGTTGTATCACTGAGCCCTGGCACTCGTGGCTCTGCATACTCGTTCACCAGTTGATGTGACTGCAGAAGTCGCGTAGATGACAAGCTAGAATCTTTGTCACTTTCTGAGGGACGCCACGGTTTATTCTCGCCATACATACTAATGGAATTTTGATCTGGGTAGATGGACGGGTCCTGGTAATGGGCAGGTGCATGAGGAGAGTTCGAGAACGATCCTTTTTTATAGAATCGCCTCACGTACAGTAAAGTAACAATGAACACAAGTAACAAGAGGGGAATCAGCACGTAGATCAACCACCCAGGTTGTGTTGTAGCATACCTGACAGATCCACTGTTGTCACTCTCTGTTTTGACTTTATGGATGGTGTGAGCATTATTGGGTCTGGTATCTAACAGGACAGGGACACTAAAGGGCCCAAGACCCGCCCCTGTGAGAGCTGCCACACGCACGGTGTAAAGCCGATCAGGCAGGAGGCTGTGCGCTTCCAGCCAAGGGCTTACCACCGTCTCCGTGATCTGGCTCCCGTTGTGACTGATTATTACCTGGTAACCCACCAGTTTCCCTTGTGCTTCTTCAGTAGTCATACTCGACCACCTGATAAGTACCAAACCTTCCTCAAGCATCGTCACACGCACCTCCCTGGGTGCAGATGATGGAACTGCCAGTGAGAAAAAAGGGTCAAATATTATACAAGCAAAAAGGTCAGAACTGTGGCATATCGACTCCTGAGTCAACATATATCTATATCAGCTGAACTCCTTTAAGAATTTAACTTCTCATAAATTTTTATTGACATATATGTTTATTATATATATATATATATATATATATATATATATATATATATATATATATATAATATATATATATAATATAAATAAACACTGATCTCTTGGCTGAAGGAGACTCGAACCTACGAACCTAGGACAAGGTACGCAGTGCCTTTAAACCCAATCTACCCACACTGGACAATACCTTGGCGTGTAGCATGCGCTACACGTTTGATCCAAGGCAGCCAGCTTTCAGGGAAGAAGGCTTACGCCAAGGTATTGTCCAGTGTGGGTAGATTGGTAAAGCACTGCGTACCTTGTCCTAAGGTTCGTAGGTTTTGAGTCTCCTTCAGCCAGAGATCAGTGTTTGTGTATATTTCCCCATGCTCTCGGCGAATTCCTTGCATATAATATATATATATATATATATATATATATATATATATATATATATATATTTTATATATATATATATATATATATGTCAATTTCACCACACACAAACAAGCGGGTATACACAAAGAAAGATCGCAGACAGTAATATTCGTAACTACTACTGGGGACGGTCCAGATTCCCAGGCAGCACTCCAGCCCACTCAGTAACACAAGTGCCACATAGACTGGGCAGCCTGGTTCACAAGCCATGAAATATGGCTTGTGAACCAGGCTGCCCAGTTGAGAGTTATGCTGTGGCCCTACTGGGCTGAGGTGGATGGTAGACGTTCTGCTACTGAAGTTCATGGTTGTAATGCAGTCTAACTTTGTCATTCAGTCAATGTAGTCGTTCAGTAAGTCACTCAAGTGATTCAGTAAGTCAGTCAAGTTGTTCTGTAAGCCAGTCAAGTCATTCAGTAAGTCAGTCAATTCATTCAGTAAGTCATTCAGCAAGTTTAGTCAAGTGATCCAGAAAAGTCAGTCAAGTCATTCAGTAAGTCAGTCAAGACATTCAGTAAATCAGTCAAGTTGTTCAGTAAGTCAGTCAAGTTATTCGGTAAGCCAGTCAATTCATTCAGTAAGTCATTCAGCAAGTCAGTCAAGTCGATCAGTAAGTCAGTCAATTCATTCAGTAAGTCATTCAGTAAGTCAGTCAGGTGATCCAGTAAGTCAGTCAAGCCATTCAGTAAGTCAGTCAAAACATTCAATAAGTCAGTCAAGTCATTCAGTAAGTCAGTCAAGTCGTTCAATAAGTCAGTCAATTAATTCAGTCAAGTCAATCAGTAAGTCAGTCAAGTAACTCAGTGAGTCAGTCAATTCATTCAGTAAGTCAGTCAATTCATTCAGTAAGTCAGTGAAGTCATTCAGTAAGTCAGTCAAGTCATTCAGTAACTCAAGTCATTTAGTAAGTCAAATCGTTCAAAATGCCAGACAACTCATTCAGTAAGTCAGTCAATTTCTTCAGTCAAGTCATTCACTAAGTCAGTCAATTCATTCAGTCAAGTCATTCAGTAAGTCAGTCAAGTGAGTCATTAAGTCAGTCAAGTCATTCAGTAAGTCAGCCAATTCATTAAGTCAGTCAAGTCAGTCAGTCAAGTCATTCAGTAAGTCAGTCAAGTCATTCAGTAAGTCAGTCAACTCATTTAGTAACTCAGTCAAGTCATTCAGTAAGTCAGTGGATGGTGGGGTTGCTGGGGACGGCGGGAGGTCTCCCCAGCTGCTAGGATGGTGGGGTGGTGTTGGGGTGGTTGCTGGGGACGGCGGGAGGTCTCCCCAGCTGAACAACAATATGGCTGCCGCTCGAGGAAAAGGCAAGTTTTTGTTACCTTCCTACAAACTGAACTGTGTTAAATTCATCATACGACGTTACATAAAATTGTGTTGCAATTCTTCAATCCTGATATACTCAAATTGTGCCAAATAAACTCGTGCTAAACAACGGTCTACTGTACCCCTAGAACTACACTGGGGAGCCTCATCCTCAGAGAAGATAATAAACGTACCTCAGGGAAAAGTCACGGTTCTCCCCGGAGCTGTTTGAATATTTTCTTCTCCTACCACCCCCTATATTCTATAATCTATGTGAACTTGATTTATACCTGGAGATTACCTGGAGAGAGTTCCGGGGGTCAACGCCCCCGCGGCCCGGTCTGTGACCAGGCCTCCTGGTGGATCAGCGCCTGATCAACCAGGCTGTTGCTGCTGGCTGCACACAAACCAACGTACGAGCCACAGCCCGGCTGATCCGGAACTGACTTTAGGTGCTTGTCCAGTGCCAGCTTGAAGACTGCCAGGGGTCTGTTGGTAATCCCCCTTATGTGTGCTGGGAGGCAGTTGAACAGTCTCGGGCCCCTGACACTTATTGTATGGTCTCTTAACGTGCTAGTGACACCCCTGCTTTTCATTGGGGGGATGGTGCATCGTCTGCCAAGTCTTTTGCTTTCGTAGTGAGTGATTTTCGTGTGCAAGTTCAGTACTAGTCCCTCTAGGATTTTCCAGGTGTATATAATCATGTATCTCTCCCTCCTGCGTTCCGGGGAATACAGGTTTAGGAACCTCAAGCGCTCCCAATAATTGAGGTGTTTTATCTCCGTTATGCGCGCCGTGAAAGTTCTCTGTACATTTTCTAGGTCGGCAATTTCACCTGCCTTGAAAGGTGCTGTTAGTGTGCAGCAATATTCCAGCCTAGATAGAACAAGTGACCTGAAGAGTGTCATCATGGGCTTGGCCTCCCTAGTTTTGAAGGTTCTCATTATCCATCCTGTCATTTTTCTAGCAGATGCGATTGATACAATGTTATGGTCCTTGAAGGTGAGATCCTCCGACATGATCACTCCCAGGTCTTTGACGTTGGTGTTTCGCTCTATTTTGTGGCCAGAATTTGTTTTGTACTCTGATGAAGATTTAATTTCCTCATGTTTACCATATCTGAGTAATTGAAATTTCTCATCGTTGAACTTCATATTGTTTTCTGCAGCCCACTGAAAGATTTGGTTGATGTCTGCCTGGAGCTTTGCAGTGTCTGCAATGGAAGACACTGTCATGCAGATTCGGGTGTCATCTGCAAAGGAAGACACGGTGCTGTGGCTGACATCCTTGTCTATGTCGGATATGAGGATGAGGAACAAGATGGGAGCGAGTACTGTGCCTTGTGGAACAGAGCTTTTCACCGTAGCTGCCTCGGACTTTACTCTGTTGACGACTACTCTCTGTGTTCTGTTAGTGAGGAAATTATAGATCCATCGACCGACTTTTCCTGTTATTCCTTTAGCACGCATTTTGTGCGCTAATTCCTTTAGCACGCATTTTGTGCGCTATTACGCCATGGTCACACTTGTCGAAGGCTTTTGCAAAGTCTGTATATATTACATCTGCATTCTTTTTGTCTTCTAGTGCATTTAGGACCTTGTCGTAGTGATCCAATAGTTGAGACAGACAGGAGCGACCTGTTCTAAACCCATGTTGCCCTGGGTTGTGTAACTGATGGGTTTCTAGATGTATGGTGATCTTGCTTCTTAGGACCCTTTCAAAGATTTTTATGATATGGGTTGTTAGTGCTATTGGTCTGTAGTTCTTTGCTGTTGCTTTACTGCCCCCTTTGTGGAGTGGGGCTATGTCTGTTGTTTTTAGTAACTGTGGGACGACCCCCGTGTCCATGCTCCCTCTCCATAGGATGGAAAAGGCTCGTGATAGGGGCTTCTTGCAGTTCTTGATGAACACAGAGTTCCATGAGTCTGGCCCTGGGGCAGAGTGCATGGGCATGTCATTTATCGCCTGTTCGAATCTATTGGTACAATATATCAAAAATTATGAATCTCCTCCAGCTCCTCAAAAGTCAGATGCAGGCCCAGTATGCAGCAAGCATTTCCCCTCTGGATGGCCACGCTGAGGCGCTGGAACATGAAAGTTGCTGATACTGTTGCTTATGTCTCTGTACTTGCTGATCATGTACTCCTTCCTGTGATCAGCAGCTCCTCCCTGTCACCCAACACTGTGATGGATGTAGGTGTCAGCCAGCATCTACACGCAGGTATAGTCCCATGCTAAGAGCTTGCCATTCTTCCAAGGATAGATGGTGATCCCATCAGGGCATTTTGCTGGGTTGTGAGTGTTGTTGGCTGCCAGTGTTCGGGGCTTTCTCTCGGCTGGGTATCATGGTTTCTCTTTATGATGTCGTTGACTTCATTGTGTCTTGCATGCCAGCCCTTGGGTTTAGAGCAGTTAAGATCATGTAGACCATATTGATCAGTTTGTACATCGCTGCAAATACATGTATATTCTGTGTGAATTGAGGCAGCAAGGCAGAGAGCCACTGCAATACATAGAGACTTGGGTCGAGATTTGTTCCCATTGCCGAAATGGAAATTGTTTGGAGGAATTCCCCCAGAGTGAAGTGCACTCACAGCTTGGAGACAGGCAGTCTACCTGTCTGATGTTACAGCCCTAAGCATGTTGGCAAGAACCTTTTCAGGGATGGGGCCATTCCAGCTTGACTGTAGGCCAGTGCTGCACTAAGTTTTGGTGCTGGAATGGCAAGAGTCTCCCATTTGGTGGAGGCACTGGCATAGCTGGGGTCCTGTATTCCTGCTGAGTCACTGAGGTTGTCCAGAAGAATTTATTTTATTAACTCTTTTGATGATATGGAAGAGGATAGGAAAGCTGGTAGGGCAATCTGGGAGGATCTGCATACTCCCAGCCTCCTAAGCCTGACTAGAAGTGAGGCTTGCAACCACTGTCCATCTTCAAGGGAAACATTCAACACACTCTCTAGCATGGTCTTAAAGAGGGAGTCATATTCCTTGAGTTTCGGACTGCTGATGGCTGGGTAGCATCTCAGGAAGTCAGTTTTGGGATGGACAGGCACCTGGTGAGTAGATAGAATGCATCGTGTGTATCAGAGTCTTTCCTCCTGCCTTTCATCTTCCTGAGGCCCAATGCCATTGATCCGATCCTAGGATCGGATCAATGGCATTGGGCCCAAGAGGAGCACCAAGAAGAGTGCCGTTGGCTGGATCAATGACCTGTGTTCCAGATAAAACAACACTAATATTCTGAATGATCTGTCTTGTGGCAGAAATAATTTCATATTTGGTGAGGGTTGAAAGACAGGCCCAAGCTCTCTCCCAGGTCTTCAGATTTTCTGATGTCTTCAAGGAGAGATTCTGTTGTGCCAGCTAGGGTACCACCATCCAAGAACCAGATATTGAGCTCACTGGAGATCATTTCTGTGACTTCCTTGATGACCAGACAGAATAGAAAGGGAGAGAGAGGGTGCCCATGTTGCATACCCTCAAACAAGTCAATTTCATGGCCCCCAAACAATAGAAGTCATGCTACAACATGATTGTATGAAGGCATAGAGGGAAGGAAAGTGTTTAGAAACTGCTTGGAGAGCAGCATCCCTTCTGACTAAGTTGAAAGCGTTGGCAATGTCCAATTTGATCAAGGCTTTTTCATATGACCAGGTCAAGTCATGAGTGTTCTGAAGTTTGGAACATTTAACAATATCATGAGAAAGGAAGGAATTTACAGAGTCAAAGCCAGGACTAAGATTCATATTAAGGGGGTTGCATATAAGGGATGCTTGAACAAGACGGTGACTGTGAAGGCTAGAAGCAGGATAGACAAGAAGAATCTTAATTCTACACAAAATACCTAAGCTAAAGTTACTGTTTACTTAAGGAAAGGCTAAAAGCATTGCTGAAATTGTCTTACAGAACAGATGATATTTAATACGTGAAAATACAGAGGAACAGATATGATTGGTTTAAATCACAAATCCTGAGGTTGATATTACAAATTTTCTAAAAACCATAATATGAGCGCATTTTAACATATTATTGTAATATATATATATATATATATATATATATATATATATAATATATATATATATATATATATATATATATATATATATATATATATATATATAATATATATATATAATATATATATATATATATATGAATGAAACAGAAAAATAGTTATGATTATATGCATTATTTTATAAACGTTCCAAGAAAATATCTGTATACAAAGGGAGGTAACATACCAGATTCTGGTGTTATAACTGAAAGAGAGTTGGAGGGCGCTCCTTCGACGCTATGCCAAAATGGGACGATGAAGAAAGTGTAGTGAGTGTTGGCACTAAGGTGGTGCAGGAGGTAAGAGGAAGATGAGGTGCCCAGCACAGTGGCCACTTGTACAGTGCCAGTTTTGGTCAGTGAGTATACCAAGACGCCTTCCACAGACTCATCTGTTAGATCCAGGAAGTTCCAGGTAAGCAGTACACTATGAGGGGCGGTGATGGAGGCGTCAGTGAGTGTTATTATGGGTTGAGAGAGGCGACGGCGAGCCTGGCGGATCTGGTCCACTGAGAGACTTGGGTCACGGGGAGGGCGGGTTGTGACCGGGTCTGACCAGGGACTAGGGAATGAAGCCCCGCTGTTGTTGACGGCGCGTACCAAAAAGATGTAAGTGTGTCCAGGAGTGAGGTGACTTACTACACACGACTCCTTCAACATAACAGCATCGGCTACTCTCCATTCATCCCAGCCTTGTCTCCAGTACTCTGCTGTATACCACTGACCTGACTCTCCACCCACCTGAGAATTGGGAAGCCAACTCAGTTGCACCGCTGTTTGATTCACTGCCATAAGTCGTGGCTTGGTGGGAGGTGCAGGCAAGTGCAGTGGTTCACTAACATTAGCATCGTGTTCTACTCGCAATACTGCTGCTTGTTCCACGGTACCAGTGTCTGCTCTGGCGCGACAGGTATAAATCCCCGCATCATCAAGATGAACATTCTTGAGAATGAGCGCCCCGTTGTCTGGGAGGGAGATCCTAGAGCCATCAGTACCCTGAGAGAGTGGACGGGATGGTAGGTGAACAGACGGACGGTACCACCACGAGATGACGGCTTTGGCTGCTTCACTCACTACCTCACAGGAGAAAGTAACAACACTCCCTGGTATCACTGTCTTGTCTTGAGGACCCACACCTACTATGGGTGGTGGATGAGATGGTACTACAACCAATTCTGCCTGCCCGCTTACTCCCCCACCACTGCTTACACCCCAGCAGTGGTAAATGCCACTGTCTTCAGTTGTTGCATGTTCTATGGTGAGAGTGTAACCATCATCAGATATGAAAGTGTAACCCCTCCTCTGTCCAGGGATTAGGAGAGCCGTTCTGTCTAAGGTTGGGAGGCGCCACAGCACAAGAGGCTGGGGTCCTCCCTTTATGTGACACATTATCTGTGCACTTTCACCGACCATCACGTGAACATCCTGTGGCCTCTGTGTCAACTCAGGGGCATTAACAATGGTAAGTGAAGCTTGGGCTGAGGCAATTCCCGCTTCGTTCTCCACTTCACAAGCATAAACACCTGAATCTGCAGTCTCTACCTGTTCCAACACCAGACGTTGGTCATCTATCTTGGCGCGTCCCAGTGGCATTTTCCCATCTAGCCGGCGCCAAGTAACTGAAGGAGTGGGAGAGCCTTGAGTTCGACATGCCAGCTCCACTACAACCCCTGGTGGAACAGTGACATTTGCTGGACGTTCCACAAACCAAGGTGGTACTGAAAATGGAGATAGATTCGTTTGTAAATGTTCATGTTTATGTTACCATTAATATTAAATAAGAAGGAAATCTGAATGGTAAAATGAACAACTTACTCATGACGGTGAGTTGGGAGGGAGTGGATTCTCTAGTGCCTGCAGCATTACGAGCGCGACACACATAAGCTGCGGAGTCGTCTTGGACAGCCTGGCTGATGACTAGGTCTCCACCTTGAGTGATAATGATGCGGCTGGAGTTGGTCACCTGACGGCCATCCCTCAGCCAGGTTAATTCCGGCAGAGGGCTGCCCTTGGGTGGCTTGCAGGGAAAGGATACAAAATCCCCGACTCGGATCTTCACCACAGGCTCCGCCTGGCTTTGAAAGTCATACGCAAGCGTTGCCACAGTCAGTGTAGCATTGTGGGAGCGTGCTGAGCCATAACTATTGGAAGCCACGCACCAGTACGTGCCCGTGTCACTATCTCTCCTAGTTGCAGTGACACGGAGGAAAAAGAGGGAGCCAGTAGGCAGGAGGACACGGTGTGAGCGAGGGTCTTGCGTGGATGTTATTACCTCCTCACCATCACGGAACCACCTGATGCGAGCAGCTCCGGAAGCTGCACAGTTAAGGGTGACAGGGTCATTACGGCGAGCAATTACATTGCTGGGATGCTCCTTGATGACAGGCAACCCTTCTGCAAGACCAAAAAAATATATTAAAGAGGCCAGACATTTCATTAATATTGCTATACACATTTCATATATATATATATATTATATATATATATATATATATATATATATATATATATATATATATATATATATATATATATATATATATATATATATATATATAAAATCCATCCCAACAGCCAGGTTGCACTGAACATTTCTAAAGTACTCTCACAAGCTAACACTAGAGTCGCCATAACATCCAGCACATCCATATTTTATCTAACCAGGACAAAATCGAGTTACCACGAACCAGTCAATGTAGAAGTTTATACTATACCTTGTGGAGACTGACAGTATGTAAGTGAAACAGAAAAGAACCTCAAAACATGCCTCAAAGAACTCATTAAAGCATGTAGGAACGATAACTTGAACAATGCCTACGTACAGCACTGGAATTCTACCAATCACCTTGTGAAATTCAATGACACCCGACTAGTGATCAAAGAACCTAATTTCCGCAGATGTAAATGCCTTGAAACATCATTAATCGCTGTTTCTAACATAATTAAGCAAAATAAAGGCAGCTTCATCATCTCTGAACTATTAGCAAAAATCCTTCTCAAAACAACAGGAACACTGAAACAGACTTTCTCAAATACAACCACTAACAGAAATATTTGTCTAACCTATTTGTATACTACCCAAGTACTAACTTTTATTACCATTTATTGATGTGCAAGATGACTTTTCTACCACATGTATTACTATTACTATCTCTAGTATTACTACTACTACTACCACTAGTATTAACATCTCACTCTAAGCCTATATATACCGTCTGTGTCCATGTATTGTTTGTAATGGCTTGACAAAGCTCCTGGAGAGCGAAATGTTGCCACAGTTAAATATCACATAGGTTGCACTTGTGTCCTTTTACTTTACATATTGTCAGTAATTTTACCAACATTAATACTATCATGTTTTATGCTTTCTCTACCTTCACAAAATCTCTTTGTGTCATTTAGAAATGCGTACACCAAACATGCACTCTTCACCGTCAGCCTCAGTCGATAATTGAAGAGTTTCCGTCGTGGATTTCTTCAATTTCACAAGATTCCTGATGGTAACTCGCTGTTCACCTTTGCACTCCGACATTTTCCGACCGAGGTAAGAAAACGTTTATATTTGAACACGTTTCCTCTTGTAGTACTGAGTTAAGCGATCGAGTTTAGCTATGTCTCACAGGTTGTCTCGCCTCTCTCACTCTAGCTTCCCGAGCTATAGGTTAATTTCGTTTTTTTGTGCAATAAGATCACAGTAAACAGGTGATATCACAATATGCAGAACAACCACTGTGTAAAGAATAATGAACTTCCAATCACTTTCATGATTTCTCACATTATCAAGGAGCTGTGAAAAATAACACATTGGCCGTTTCCCACCAAGGCACGGTGGCTCGAAAAAGAAAATCTTTCACCATCATTCACTCCATCATTATCTTGCCACAGGTGCGCTTACACTACAGTTCTGGAATTTTTTTCATAATTTCCTAAATATAGAATTTATAAATAAATAATATAATAATTGTGGTAGGTGAGGGTAGTTGAGCTGCTGAGTAATGCCGGGGAGACGCCATGCTGAGTTTAATGTGAGCACTGGTAGGAATTTTGCACCAGGAATTCGGCGTTTACCGAGGCCTAAATGGGATGTATCGGCCTCAATTCGTAATTTAGAAATTGCTGACAAGTTCCTGCTGAAGAATTGGGACAGGATATTTATGGGACATCAAGAATAGAGTGTGGAGGACCAAAATAGAGGACGTTAATGAATCAACACACCTTAGCTAAGTACCTACCCATAATTACAGTAGTTTTTGCGTTGGCCATCGTAAATCCTAGCTGTCAGGGGTTAGGTTAGGGTGTATTCCATCAGCATTAAGTGTCTTCCAGTAACTGAATATTAAGTGGTAATGTAAAGTTGTTTTTAATAGCACTAATAGTTTGTGTATAATAATTATATTTATTGTTCCAAGCAAACCTAACCTCATACAATCCACTTAATCGTAATTTTAATATTATAATTATTAATTTAATGTTAGGTCAAGCTTTTTGTGAAAGAGGTGTAGAAGTAAGCAATCGAAGGAGTTGCAGTTCAGTGACCTACTGTGACTAAGTCCCACTTACCTCACCCAAATTCAAATTCAAATTCAAATTTTATTTTCTTGTAAAGATTAGATGGGTGGTTTACATATCATAAAGCAGTAATTACAAAGATGACCACTAGCATGCCTAGCAAGCCTAGGCATTTCAGGCAGACTAATAATAATTTTTACTCTATATTACAAAATATAAATGATTTAATGGATTTACAATAGTGAAGTAGTTCAGAACATTTAATAATATAATTTGCAAAATTAGTAATGAGAATGGTTTTGTCTTGGCATAAGTTTGCCTGAGTATTTCAGGCAAACTTATGACTAACTTGAGAAACTAAAACCTAACAAATCCCCAGGTCCTGATGAACTGTTTGCAAGGGTGTGAAAGGAATGTAAAGGGGAACTTAGCATACCTTTGGCTAATCTTTTCAACATATAACTACAAACTAGCATAGTGCCTGATAAGTGGAAAATGGCAAATGTAATACCTATTTACAAGGCAGGTGACAGGTCCTTGGCTTCGAACTATAGACCAATAAGCCTTACCTCCATAGTGGGAAAATTTATGGAATCAATAATTGCCGAAGCAATTCGTAGCCATCTTGACAGGCACAGATTGATTAATGATTCTCAACACGGTTTTACAAAGGAGCGTTCCTGTCTTACGAATTTACTAACTTTTTTAACTAAGGTGTTTGAGGAGGTAGATCATGGTAATGAATATAATATTGTGTATATGGACTTCAGTAAGGCTTTCGATAGAGTTCCACATCAGAGGCTATTGAGGAAACTTAAAGCACACGGAATAGGAGAAATTTTTTCCTGGGTAGAGGCATGACTGACAAATAGACAGCAGAGAGTTTGCATAAATGGGGAGAAATCAGACTGGGAGCACGTCACAAGCGGTGTTTCTCAGGGTCAGTGTTGGGCCCGTTGTTGTTCACAATTTACATAAACGACATAGATGAGGGAATAAATAGAGACATTAGCAAATTTGCTGATGACACCAAAATATCGCGTCCAATTCATTCTAATGAGGACACTAGAGCACTCCAGGATGATTTGAATAGACTGATGCAATGGTCGGAGAAGTGGCAGATGCAGTTTAATATTGACAAATGCAAAGTTCTAAATGTTGAACAGTTAAATAACCATGCCACATATAAACTAAATAATGTAGATCTTAATACTACTGATTACAAAAAGGATTTAGGAGTTTTGGTTAGCAGTAATCTAAAACCAAGACAACAGTGCATTAGTGTTCGCAATAAAGGTAACAGAATTCTTGGCTTCATATCTAGAAGTATAAATAATAGAAGTCCTCAGGTTGTTCTTCAAATCTATATATCCTTGGATAGGCCTCATTTAGACTATGCTGCTCAGTTCTGGTCACCGTATTACAGAATGGATATTAATGCTCGGGAAAATGTACAGAGGAGGATGACAAAGATGATCCCATGTATCAGAAATCTTCCCTGTGAGGATAGACTGAGGCCCTGAATCTGCACTCTCTCGAAAGGCGTAGAATTAGGGGGGATGTGATCGAGGTGAATAAATGAAAAACAGGAATAAATAAAGGGGATGTAAATAGCATGATGAAAATTTCCAGCCAAGAGTAGTGACGTGTACTTAGCTCAGTGGTGACGTGTACTTAGCTCAGTGGTGACGTGTACTTAGCTCTGTGAAGACCTGTTTGTGTGCTCTCTGTGAATCTGAACCAGGATGCCCTCTCTTGAGCAGCTTTACCAGCAGCTGAGAGAAGAACTCAGAGTTGCTAAACTGGAGATACGGCGATTAACGGAGGAGAACAAGAGGATTCGTAGTAATCCTCCTGTTGTGAGTCCCCAGGTTAAGAGGGGAGCTTGGTCAGTGGTCGGGCAACATGGAACCAAGCTGAAGATTAAGAAAACGGTTGGAGAGGCAGAAAACAACGAGAAACCAGAAGACTGCCGTGGAAACTTCCAACTCATTCTCGGTGCTACCTGACGAATGTGAGTGTTCTACTGGAATGCCACAACGAGCACCAAGGAAGCATTGGCAGACGTGAGTGAGACATCCTAGAAACCCCAACGAAGACCATCGAGAACGTCATGACGAATTCTACAAGTGGTGTAATGCTACCTGGCGAATTTGAGTCGACTACTCGGAGCATCACTACGGAAGACGCCAAGGAAGGTAAAAACATTGTTGTTGTTGGGGATAGTCAGATTAGGTACATGGATAGGGCATTCTGTTTGAAGGATAGGAGTAGGAGGCAGAGAGTGTGTTTTCCTGGGGGTGGGATGAAAGGATATTGTTAGCCGTCTGGATGACATCATGAGAGGTAATGGGAGCAATCCTATTATCTGTCTCAGTGCTGGAGGCAACGATGTTGGCAGACGTAGGAGTGAGGACCTGATTAGCAGGTATAGGTCAGCAATAGAGATAATTAGGAAGAAGGGTGGGAAACCTGTCATATGTGGCATTTTGCCAAGGAGAGGAGTTGGAAATGAATGGTTGTCCAGAGCAATTGGTGTCAATTGCTGGCTGGACAAATACTGTAAGGAAAATGCGGTAACATTCATTGACAACTGGGACCTCTTCTATGGCAGAAATGACATGTATGCCAGGGATGGGGTTCACTTGTCTAGGTGTGGGGTGGGAGCACTGGCCAACGCAGTGGAGGGAGCTGTTAGGTCTTTAAACTAGGAATAGTTAGTGGTATGGGTTTCTGCGGGAAAACTGTGAAGTCTCAGGGTAGTAATATGAGTACTAGGAGAACTAGTAATAGGAAAAATGAGGTGGATATCGGAAGGCCAGTGGCACTAATTGACAAGGACAGTAATAGGTTTAGTGGAATAACAGAAAGGAGCAGGAATGATAAAGAGAAAGGAGGGTCCTTAAGTATATATTACACAAATAGTCGCAGTGCTAGGAATAAGATGGACGAGTTGAGACTAGTTGCTAGTGCAGGTAACATAGATGTATTTGCCATTACTGAGACGTGGTTCAATTCAAAAGGTCGGGACATGCCTGCAGAATGTCACATTCAGGGTTTTAAATTGTTCCAAGTAGATAGAAGTATCGGGAAGGGGGGTGGGGTGGCATTGTATGTCCGAGATCGCTTGAACTGTTGCATAAAAACGGGTATTAAGTCTGAAGTAACACATACAGAGTCTGTTTGGATAGAATTTTCAGAGGGCATGAAAAATTAATTTTAGGTGTGATATACCGTCCCCCAAATTTAGATAGGGACCAGGGGAGACTACTATGGAGGAAATTGTTAGGGCCACAAGGCACGATAATGTAGTAATTCTAGGAGACTTTAACTTTAGTCATATTGATTGGAATTTCTTGACTGGGAATTTAGAATCATACGATTTCTTAGAAGTAGTTCAGGATTGTTTTTTGAAGCAGTTTGTGACAGAACCTACAAGGGGAAATAACCTGCTTGACTTAGTTCTGGCAAACAATGAATCCCTTGTTAATAATTTAGAAGTTTCAGAGGAACTGGGTGCTAGCGACCACAAATCAATTACATTTAGAATTGAATGAAGTATGATAGTAGGGATAACTCAGTAACAGTCCCAGATTTTCGCTTAGCAGATTACGATGGGCTTAGAGAACACCTATCATCTGTTGACTGGGGTAACGAAGAGAGCTATCAATATGACAGTTTTCTGAACACAATACATGCTGCTCAAAGAACGTTTATCCCTTATAAGGAAATTAGATCAAATAGAAATGACCCAAAATGGATGAATAATAGGCTGAAATATCTACTAGGGCATAAGAAAGGAATTTATAGGCGTATCAAAAGAGGCGAGGGTCATCTTATGAATCAGTATATTGACATTAAGAGGGACATTAAAAAGGGGATAAGAAAAGCTAAAAGGGACTATGAAATTAAAGTTGCTAGGGATTCTAAAACTAATCCAAAAAGTTTTTTCCAGGTATATAGAACAAAAGTCAGAGATAAGATAGGTCCCCTTAAAAATAACTATGGGCATCTTACTGACAAAGAGAATGAAATGTGCTCGATTTTAAATAATTATTTTCTCTCGGTTTTTACACAGGAAGACACTAGTAGTGTTCCGGTAATTAATTTTTATAGTGGGCCAGAAGAAGATAAATTATGTAACATCATAGTCACTAGTGAAATGGTTGTGAAGCAGATAGACCGACTGAAGCAAAATAAGTCACCGGGTCCTGATGAGGTTTTTTCAAGGGTTCTTAAGGAATGCAAAATGGAAGTCTGTGAACCATTAACTAATATTTTTAATTTATCTCTTCAAACAGGTGTAGTGTCTGATATGTGGAAGATGGCTAATGTAATTCCTATTTTTAAAACAGGGGACAAGTCGTTACCGTCAAATTACCGCCCAATAAGCCTGACCTCAATTGTAGGCAAGTTGCTAGAGTCAATTATAGCTGAGATTATAAGAAGCCATCTCGATAAGCATAGCTTGATTAATGATACTCAGCATGGATTCACAAGAGGCCGGTCTTGTCTAACTAATTTATTAACTTTCTTCAGTAAAGCTTTTGAGGCTGTTGACCACGATAAAGAATTTGATATTGTTTACTTAGATTTTAGTAAGGCATTTGATAGAGTTCCGCACCAAAGACTGTTGAAGAAAGTAGCAGCTCATGGCATTGGGGGAAGGGTGCTCTCGTGGATCGAGTCATGGCTCACAGACAGGAAGCAGAGAGTGTCCATAAATGGGGTTAAATCAGAGTGGGGATCAGTAA